GTAAACGTCATCGTCGTCATCGACATATATTTTGATATACCAGTGTCGAGGAAACGTATTTTAATAAATAATTCGTTAATAATAAATAAATAAATTATATAGGCACAGAGAAAGACAAAGGGAGAGAGAGAGTGAGAGAGAGAGATACATATATATATATATATATATATGTATAATTAATTAACGATCGATGATCGGTATAGTGATACTTTTATCGAAGTTATTAATCATCTGTCCTATTTTATTTTTTATCTTTTTCTTCATATCTCCTTCTTGTTTAAATTCATTTTCCCATCTTCTCGCAGACACCGTCATGAATCGTCGCACGTAAAGTAATACAAATAATAATAGTAATAATAATAATAATAGGGCGGTAAAAAACTTACTTACTATCTATATGACCTGAACCGGGAAGCTTTCAAAGGTTGATTTCTCCTTTGAGCAAAACCGGATTCCCTTTTTGCATTTTTTGTTCACCCATCGGGAGATGGTTTTTCTCTTGTTTCCTTTTGTATTTTTTTTTTTTTAATTTTTTTTCCCTCAAATATCTTCTTCTTTTTTCGTTAGGCTAAGAGAGTGCATTAATGCGTAGCACACACTCCTACGTTTTTATTCCGAGGTGGTATACCTTAAAGTTTGTTAAAAACTTTTAATATTAATTCCAGTTTCATGAATCGTTTTCTGATTTAAAATTGGAGGACCCCTTTTGTTGAACTTTCAAAAGTTGTTTTTTGAAATTTCAATGATCAGGATTACACCAACATGTCCATTAGTCATTTTGTATTTCGTAACGATAGGTTTTTTTTATTTTCAAATATTATTGATTCACATTTGAGTGTGTGTGGGTATGTTTACTTGTACACGCCCAAAGATATCTTTATTTGTTGTTTATCTTCTCGTCGATGTGATTTTAATCACATTATCCTTTGTTTTGTTTTTTATTTGTTATAATTTTATTCTCTCGAGGCCAGAGTACGCAACAGATTTTTGCGAGATTCGGAACAAGAGAGGGTACACATTCAACAAATTTCTGAATAATATCTGATTTATTTGACGTAAAATTGTCCATCAATTTTACAAATCAACATTGATCAGTTTGTCATGTTTAAACAATTCATAGTGTGTGTTCAATCACAAGCTCAACGAAGAATTGTTCTCGAATCCGAGGATTTAACGTACACATATAATGAAAGAAACAAAGATATTTATTATCATAATGTTTCTTTATTCGTATTCGTTCGTGTTCCTTGCTTTGAGAATTTGTTTTTTTTTTTTTTTCATTTTATTTTTTATTCCACAATGCTCTACTTATACGTATAATTGTATTTATGCACGTATATATTATGTATATATATTTATATACGAGGTCAAGCGTATCCTCGTCTAAAACAGCTTTATGTTTCTTCTGTATTACAGAACAACGATTAAATTTATCATACCAATATAGGTATAATATATATAAATATATATATGCATATATAATATTCATACATATATATATATATATCATATATCATATATAATATACATATACATATATATTGATATCTTTTAAACGCAATAAGCAAAAGTAGGATGTACAAAGAGGCCTATCGTTTTAAACGTGTAAAAATCTCTTTTATATATTTTTTTTTCTTCTTTTTTTTTTCCTTTTTATTTGTTGTTGTTGTTGTTGTGTTGTTTACTGTTAGAATTTTTCTTTGATTATGGAATTTGTCGAATGGCTCGCGAATACTTTCAAGGTTTCCTTTTTTCAATTTCTTCATTTCATTTCTCTTCTTTTCTCTTCTCTTCTATCTTCTTTTCTTCTTTTTTTATCAACATTTTTTCTTAACATTTATTTTCTTCTTTACATTGTCGTCTTCCCGTTGATTTGGTTTTTTAAACGTTATCATATACGCCATCATTCAAACCCATCACCATCACTATTATCACCATCGTTCACATCAAACGTTTTTTTATCGTATATATTTAGGATAAATAAAATAATCCTATTGATTTTCGCACCGATACTATTTTATTATACTTTTTCGTCTTGTCTGGTCTGGCCTGGTCTGTTCAGGACGTTCCCTGTTTTTTTTCTTTTCCCTTTTTATCTTCTTATTCAAGCACGAATAATAATTTATTTTTTTATATTTAATTAAATAATAGAGTATAGAGCTGCGCCAAACAGGAGTGAGTACAAAAAAGCTGAAATTTTCCAATTTTTTTTGTCTCCCTCTCTCTCTCTCTCTCTCTCTCTTTCTTTCTTTCTTTCTTTCTCTTCTAATCTTCTCATTCATTTTCCTTAGAATTTTTCTTTCTCGTAGTATAATTCATCGGGATTAATTCGAACGATCAACAACAAACACGATTTTTAGAAGACAAGATTATTATTTTTTGTTTTCTCCATTCGATTCGAATTATCTTGCTAGTAGTAAAGCGTAAAATAACGTATTCCATTATTTGTTTTTTTATCTCTTTTTTTTTTTTTCTTATTTTACAATTAATTCCTTTTTTTTTGTTTATTATTATTATTATTATTATTATTATTACGGTGTTTTGGTTTTTTTGTTACTTTTAAATATATAATATTATTTTATATTTTATTACATTATTATTCTAAAAAGGCGAATAATTTGATTCCGAAAAGGCGACGCAATCAAAATTTCAACAAATAAAACAAAAACAAAAATTTAAAGAAAAAACAGTCATGAAGGACTTAGACCGAGGAATTTTTGTTTTGTTTTGTTTGTTTTTTTTTTTTTTTACTTCTGAAGAGCTCAATAAAGCTTAAAGCTTAAATTTTGGCTCGAGTTTGGATGGATCAAAGTCTTGCACTTTTTTTCTCTTTTTTTTTCGCTTTTTCTCTCTTTCTTTATTCGAACCTGAATTAATATATTTTATATATTTAATATATTTATTTATTAAAATTGAGTAAAAGTTATCGTTAATAATAATAAAACTCCTAATAATAAGGACCCTAAATAGAAACAATGAGCAACGTTACTCATTCTCTCGAATGTACATAAATATGTAATACATTTGTTGTTGTTGTTGGTTGTTTAATAATTTTTCTTTTATATAATATTTATCGAACGTGTGTGCTACCTCGGTTAGAATCCTTTTTTTTTTTTTTGTCATAATCTGTGGATGGATATTATCGCGAGTTATCGTTATAGTAAACGCATCGTCACCAAGCGTTACAATTTTATTTGTTTGTTAGTTTGTATGCCTTCGGAGAGAAAAATTATTAACTTATGCATTTATATTTATAAAGAGAGAAAAAAGTGATTGAAAAAAAGGAAAAACGAAAAGAAGGAAGGAAGGAAGAAAGAAAGAAAGAAAGAACACGAAAAAGTGCCTGCTTATCCGCTGATTTGTTACGTACTTAATTTGTTCTTTCTTTCTTCCCCCCTTTTTGTTTCTCTCTTCTTCTTTTTCTTTTTCTTTCTTTTTGACGATATCTATAATCATTTAATCATTATTTCTTTCTTTCTTTCTTTCTTTCTTTTCCTTTTCTTTTCTTTCAAGGACGCATTTGACCTAACATTAGGTATGTGGGTCATAAGCAATTTCTATGTTACACCATAATACGAGACCAAAGTCCAGGAATGCGTATCACTAGTTTCTATTCTACGATATAGAAACACGACACACAGATTAACTTCTTATTAGCATTTTTCTTTTTTTTTGTTTTGTTTTGTTTTGTTTAAAAAGTTAACTTCTTGATTTTCATCAGTTTAACTTCACTTTTAGTTGTTGTTGTTGTTGTTGGTATTATGTTGTTATTGTTGTTGTTATTATTACCTACGCACGAATAAAACATTTACGAGAAAGTGATAACGTTTAAACGTTTAGAAGAAAAATATTATTCCGATAAATCATCATATATCTCTGATGACAAATTTTCTTCTTGTCGATTATTTCGATGCCGAAATTAATGATGACACGATTTCGGCTAAGTTGAGTACTTTCATATTACTTCTTCGTTTTATTCTTCTTCTTCTTCTTCTTAGTTTTATTCAGAACACCTTTATCCACTTTTTTATTTGTTAAATAAGCATTAGTCGATTCGTGACGTGATTTTTTCTTCTTCTTCTTTCTTTCTTTTTTTTTTCTTTAAATATACTTCCATCGAGTATCAATCTCCGTAGTTAGTGGTTTTTATTCTTTTTTATTTTTATTTATTTTTTTTTCATTTTTTTAATTTCTCAAGGAGAGGGCGGGGACGAGTATCGTGATTTTCTTCATATTCTGATTTTTAACTTTTTTCTCTTTTTTTATGAAGATAACTAACCTTTCTTCTTTCTAGAGCTTTTTGACGTTCGACTACGGAATAAGGTCGCACTTGGGAATTTGAATATCCTAGTCAATTTGTTGGGTATCTAACGTACAGCTAATCCCAAATCACAGTGTTACACGATGATCTCTTCGCGATCTAACTTTGTTATTTTGTCGTTCAAGTGTCTATTTATTTCAATGTCTTTATTTTTCGATCATTTGTTTTTAATCTCTCTCGTTATCGGCTAATTATTTTCCTTTTTTTTTTTTTTTTATTATGACACAAGAACTATAAAGTCAGAATTTGCATTTTAAATATAATAGACCGATAAGATTATGTTAATATGCAATTATATATTATGTATATGTATATATGTGTGTGTGTGTGTGTGTGTTTATTATAATCCTAAGGAACTTTAAGTATTATAATATGTAAGACATATAAAAAAAAAAAAAAACAAAATGAGCGCTTTCCAAGCGCAAGGAAACAATTTAATTAACGTTATATTCGTTAAGATAAATATTATAGCAGTGTGGTCTTTTTTTTCTTTCTTTCTTTTTCCTTTTTTAACATATCTATCTAATAAAAATAATTTTATATATATATATCGAGATTAATTTTTTGAAATATCAAACGAGATATATATATATATATATATATATATATAATATAGATATAGAAATGCGTTTAGCAGTGAAAAAGCTGATCGCGAAAAGATCTTCTCGTGCTTGTATTCCTCGGGATGCCGGGGGAAAAAAAATATAATCAGAGGAATTGCGATACGGGATATAATTACACACACACATTAAATAAGGAAGACCCACATATTTTTGTTTGTTTCTAGTCAACCTTCTTCTTCTTCTTATTATTATTATTATTCTTCTTCTTTTTCTTCTCAATCTTCTTATTTTCCCTTTCCTAAAAATTAATATCTATATTTTTCGTATATGGCGGGGATAGCACCGGACTTTCTGACTGAAGGATTTTTAACGTTTATATATCCGGTAGCCGCTCAGAACTCGACTATTACGGCTGAGCAGGCTGCCATTCCCTAGAATTCGAGCCTGTAGGCGCTGCAACTTGTTTCGTGATCTTGAAGATTGATAGTGCATCGTGATGCAGATGGTGATAGATCTATATGATTGGCAGCCAAAGCTTCCTCGTTATCGGCAACCCAATAACCCAAAGTATCAGTGTCGTAAGTTGGTATCATTGTTACCTCTGCAAATAAACACGTAAATAATCATCAAATATTCATTATTATTATTTTGTTTTTATGAAATCAGAGGCGTTATTCTGGCTGACAATTAGAGAAAAATATTGAAAAATTGATTTTATCTAATACAAACATTTTGACGAATAATTTCTATCAATTATTTTTTTATCAAAGTGATCCCTCCCAGCCCCACGAGAAATCAATGAAGATTATTTGATTACGAAACTTACCAAGATCTTTGTCTTCCCAAGTCTTTTTGGCCTCTAACAAGGCATCGTAAACTTCGCGGCTTGGTTCTGTACCACTGAATACGTAATATCTCGCACGAATCTTCTTGAAAAATTCTAACGACGTATAATAAGAGTTACCATGATGAGGAACGTAAGTTAGATCCATGTAAACCGGTTGAACCTTGTTCTTGGAATCCTTTATTTTCTTTTCATTTTTACCAGGACTCTCGGAACGTTTTTTATTTTTCAAATTTTCCGATAAAACTTTTTTCGCTTGTTTCCTTTCTTTTTTCGGAGTACTCGGTGCCCCCTTGTTACTTGTAACTTCGGTAGTTATCGGTGCAGGTGAAGGTAATCTCAATGGTTCACCCCAATTACTGGTAACGTCAAAATTAAGATTGTCCGATGTGAATTCGTTGGAAGGAGGTTGTTGTACTGGATTTTTAAGATTGAACTTTCTTGGTGGTTTCGGTGACGGTAAACCCAAAGGTGTACCCCATCCTTCCAATGGGTCCTTTTTCGAATCCTTTTTACTTTCCGAAGTTTCGTCGGTAACCGAAGATGATGGTAGATCGGTTTTCGTAGATTTCGGAGATAATTTTGCACGAAGATTACCGTTAGTGTATCTAGGTGAAATCTTACCACAAAAATCGGGCGATTCCTTTAATCTTTTTCGTTCCATCAAAGCCTTCTCGAAATCTAAATCGGCTTCATCGACATATTTCTTGGTATCATGTTTTTCCTCGTAACCACCGGCGTATTCTTTCTCAACGGTAAACTTTTTAAACGTAAAATCACCCTGTATGGGAATCGGATCGCTGCTCTCGTGCAAACCACTTTCTTGGAAGATTTTCATTGCCGTCATTTGTGGCGGTACCGCTGGTAATTCACCATAAAAGCTACTGCTCATGGCAGCGGTTGAAAATTCAACGGGTTTGTGCTTATCCGTTTCTTTTTCTGTAGAACTACTTTCGTATTGTTTGGATCTCGAAGTATAACCGAGTTGTGACGTTGAAGAAATCGGCGACATTGATGTTTCGTCATCGGAATAAGTCATTTGTTTTTCTTCGCTACTACCAATAGCATGAGTCGTCGTGGTTTTGCTATGAATGCTGCTTTGATCGGTACGAGGATCCTTGTCACTGCTACCATCAGAACTTGCACTTCCGGTTCGTTGTAATTCCGAACTTTTCATGCTACCAATAGCGCTACTGGAATAAGAACAATTTTTTTTTTTATAGTAATAATGATGATAAAATAATAATGAATAATTCATCCTGAACACTCAAATTAATTGTATTTTGAACAAACTGTGTACGGTTATGCTAATAAAAATAAATATATTGAAGTAATGTCTTTAATTTAATAAATTTCGTGTGTAGATGTATATGTTACGCGGTCTCAATCTAGAGAATTATATATAATATATATATACACGTGTTTTCTTATAAATATCTAATAAAAATATAAAATAATTATTTTAATATCGTCTAACTAATTTGTCATACAACAATAAAATATTCCAAGTTCAAAATGATTAATAAAATGATGACATTTAGAACAAATATTTAGTTAATTCGTTGAAAAAAATAAATTGTAATTTACCTGATCGCCATTTCTGCGGTATCCTTGCTGGGTAAACGATCATCAACTTTAACATCAGTCTTTTCAGCCAAGATTATCGTTTCACCTTTCTCATTGGTAGCTTCCGTAACTTCCTTGGTAGTTGTGATTATCTCACCATCATCCGACATAGTTCTAGTTGTGGTAATGATAGTACGAATAACTTCGCCTGATCTGAATCCTTCAGGTGTCGCAGTAGTAGAACGACCTTCTGATCTTTTATCAGGTGTAGATCTTCCCGATAGAAGTGGTTGGACAGCTGCACCGTCCCTGACCAACGGTGAAACTGGAATATCTGGTGTTGATTTACCGGTAGATCCACTGTAAACGATATCCTTCGGCAATGATATATCCGGTGATGATTTTCCCGAATAACTTTTCTCGTCGGATATGAAATCGCGTACAGACGGTGAAACCCAATGTAAATCCCATTTGCCAGTTTTCTCCAAATGTTCTTTACCAGTGGTATCCAATTTCTCGTCGAATTTCGAGTCGGGAGTTGATTTTCCAGAATCGTAGAAAGTTTTAACGTCCGGTGTCGACGTACCTGACGTAGACGTCATCGTAGTTATTGTTTCTTTAATAACCTTTTCGATTTTCGAACCTTCGGTAGTTTTAGTTTCGGTCGTTGTCGTTGCTTTGCCAATTTTTTCACCTATAGTAGAGTCAATGAGTTTTTCCAATAATTCTTCGCTGTCAACGGTATCGCTACTTTCTTTGACGTCTTTCTTCGTGATAGTTTTACCATCAGGTTCGGTAATCGTCGTAACCGTTGTTACGATTCTCTTAACTTCAGCACTTTTCGAAACTTCCGGCGTAACATCACGACTGATTACTTTATAGGTAGCACTTGAGCCAGACGTATCGATCTTTTCTGGTGTACCCTCGCGTGATATCGTATAAGTATAAAGTTCTGGTTTTTCTAGATCGGAAGTTGATATCTTTGACGTTGGAAGATCCTCGGTAACGATAGTTCGCGTTGTCTTAGTTGTTATGGTTTCAACCGATTCTGGTGTTTCTTCCCTGCTAATTACCCTTTTAACAATCTCGTGATCTTGAATATCAGATGTTTTCTCTTCTGGAACAATGATCTCTCTTTTAATTACTTTGGTTATTATTTCGGGCTCGTCTTCCTCGATTATTTCTCTTTTAA